GAAGAAGCTTTTTCATTTTTTTGAAATAAAAAAATAAAGTTTTTGAATTTTTTCAGAAAAGTTTGTTAAGATGGAGTTAGAACAAAGATCAATGGTAGGGCTCAATCTATTTAAATTTCATTTATCCATTATCCACCCATACATTCATTTTTATCCACCTCCTACAATTTATCCTTTACCGCTGTAAGTGATGGACACGTGATTGCTTGAAAAGTTATTTTTAGAACACAAATAACACAAGTATCTCTTCTTCTGTTACCTTTTAGTTGTCGCCATTTTTCTTTTGGGCATTTTCATCTCTTTCAACGAATTTTTGGATAACAGTCATTAATAGTAATAATTATTATTTGTTAATGCCCACCCATATAATATAATCTCAGCGCATTTCTAAAATAATGTGTAAATAGTTCCAAGAAGGAGACTTTGATAACATGTTTACTTGTTTATTTTATTAAAATATAAGCGCAATATACAGTGCGTCTCGATTTACCGGTGGACATTGATTTTACGGATAAAATTTCAGAACCAAATCCGCTTATAATAATAATAATTTGATATTACAGATTTTCATATAAAATTCTCGATATTTGGTTTACCAGGGCCTCGGAATATATATGTGGGAATGAGGCGATTTTGTATTTTTTTACTAATAGCTCTATACAAAAGCTAGTATGGTACTTTACATCAGACAATTGGAAAAAAAATAAGCAAATTAATCTTCCAACCTTTGATCATCATATGATTTTAGGCCAACCCAATTTCAACGTAAAACCATTCTTTTAATAATTTTTATAGCAAAATACGATATATATTTAATTATAAGTTGCCATTTGCCCTTCATCCGCTTTACATCCTTCCATTTCCTGCTGAGTTTAATTTTTTCTTGGAATGGGTAACACAAGCAACGAAATCATCTGCATTGGATTATATATCACTATTTTTCTTTTAACGATTATTAGAATATTTCTATCTGGCCCCTGAAACAAAAGTCAATTTATTTGTTTGGGTTAGGGTCAAATATATATAAAATTTTTTTTTAATATTTTATTTAAGCGGAGATTAATAAAAAATCACACAACCATGTAATTTATGATCTTAATGTGTACAAAAAATGTTAGTCTGTTGTCATTTGACGACTTGTTTTCTTTTAAATAATAAAGAATTCTTATGTCTGCTCATTATGAATCAACTGTTATATTTAATAAATAAGCTACAATAATAATGAGGTTGGCACCGCGCAAAATTCTTTAATCGGTTAATTAGTCACGTGAAAATTTCTAACTGGTAAATTCAATCGTTCATTATAGAGACCTGCATGGATAACCCATATACATACTCGCATGATATCATACCCGTTTCTCAAAATTTTATATCCAAACCAACCCATACCCAAAAAAAATTCAAATTTTAACCAAATTCGGAATATACCCATATCTTTTTTTTATTTAAAAAAATATAAAAAGTACAACAAAAAAAATTTTAAATTAAGAATTACTATTGAAAACACTACGTAAAACAAGAACACTGTCAACTGTTTTTGGTCTTAAATTTGATCGGGATTCATTTATTGTTAAACCAGCTCCACTGAAATCCTTTTCACTGGGTGCACTAGAGGCAGGAATTGATAAATAATAAGAACATAATATTGATAGTTTTGGATAATGATCTTGATGAGCTTTCCACCATTCTAAAATGTTTAAATCCAATTCCTTTTGTACTTTTGAAGACAAATATTTTTCAATTTCATTTTCTTCAGTTTCATCATTATCTGAATCATAAAACTGACTAAAATCTGTTAAATCAACATTAGATTTTTTTTTTTTCCTTTTAATAGGTCTATCATCTTCACCACTACCATCATCATTATTTTTATCACTAGCAAGTTGAAATGAAAGAATCTCATACTGGTGTCTTATTTCATTTTTTACCCATTCAGCATCATAAGATTCCAAAATTTTCTACTACTTCATCCGAGGATCAAAGAATAAAGCTAATTTATATAAATCATGAATTTTAATTTTATCTATTATTTTTTGATTAACTACCAGTTTGATTTGTTTTTAAAATTTCATCATCTGATGAAGATATCTGACAATGAATTAAAAGAGTTTTATACCAAGGAAGTACAAGATGAATTGTTGGATATTTGATGCCTCTAAACATTCACTAGCTTCATAAAATTTTTTCAGAAAAATAATTAATATTTCTACAATAGTAATATCAATAATTTCAACTCTTTCTAATTGATCTTTCTCAGTCAAAAGATCATATATCATTTCAAATTGATCTGAAATTGATTCTAACATTTCTAGTTTGCTATTCCATCTACTTTCTAATTCTTGCTTAAGTGATTTTTCCAATCTACAATATAAAGAACTTTGTTTGAAGTATGTTACCAATGATTTACATCCTTTAATAGTTTGAATAATTGAAGGAAACAGCAAAAAATTATTCTCTTTAAAAGAAGTTTCCAATAAAGTATTAATTCTAAAATAATAAAAAATTAATTTTAATTTTTATTAAAAAAATTTATAAAAACATTATAATAAAATATATACCTATGAGATATACAAGGCAAGTGACCATGGTTTCTAAAAGTTGCAAAAAAATTAGCAGCAGAATCTGTAACAAATGTGTATTTTGTCATATTAATTTCTGGTGATAAATTATATTTTTTCAAAATACCAAAAATATTATTTTTAATATTTTCTGCTGTATGACTAGTATCTGAAAATTTTGAAACTGCTAATATTTGTTCTTTTAAAATCCAACCATCTATATAATGTACTGTCAAAGATATATAACTGATCTTTCAATAGTCATCTGTCCAGCAATCAGTAGTAAATGCACCACCTATTTTTTAAAATACGTGGGGTGTCTGAAAAGTTTTGTCAAAAGCCATGTAACGTTACATTCTTCAAGTCAATGAAGCTAAAATTATTTTTAAATAAAAGCCACAGTTTTCATCTTTCAAATAAAAAAATTATATTTATTTTGGTTCAATAGTTCCAGAAATATCAAATTTCAAACATTGTCAATAAAAACAAATGGAAAATTCAACACGTGAACACCAACGATACTACATTT